CTGCAAATCGTTTCACTAGGAAGTATTGAGAACTGTTTTCGTGGAATTCTAGCTAGATCTGGGAAGGATTTTTATAGATTATATAAATGATTCTCTTCCCCCAACAATGTTTTACAAATGGGGAAACTGAGGCTCAGGGAAGGTAGCTAATTAATGACAAAGGAAAACTTTTCATGTGATTCCCTTTTCCTCTTTATCAACAGAAATTTTATTTATGGCACTTACTCCACATTCATCCCCAAACTAGCATTCTGGATATTCTAGGGAAGGTGCTGGAATCTGCCTGATGTTGAAATCACAGACGGTGTAATGTTTCCAATATTTATGTGAGGGACTATCAGAGGTGAGAGTAGAGGCGCACCTGACTATCTGTTCCTCATCTGTGCTGCTCTAAGCTGAAAGTCTGGCGCAGCCCTGACAGCACAAGTGAACAGAGTAAGCATTTTGTTGAAATCCAAGTTGTTTTTCTGGAACAGTGACTTCCCTTTGGATCAGGTGACCAATAGCTACTGTGTGTGTGTATGTGTGTGTGCATGTTGGGGGAAGAAGGGGAACTAAGGCATATCACCAAGAAGGCACTGTGCACCCATAATCTCCAGTTGGAAGTTGAGTGGGTCCCAGTTAGATTTTTCGTGGATGCCCATGTAGCCCTTCTGAAATGCTATTTCAGAGAAAAGAGTGTTCTAAATCAGCTTTTGTGTCTTGGCAGAAGATTGGAACCCTCTTTTCTAATATTACTTCTGTGGGAAAGTGTATTCTGAGCTCCAAAGAACTCAACTTACAATTGCATTTTTGGAATATGACCCATTTATACGCTGAGGACTGCCTGTTCTGTGGGGGGAAAAAAACTTCCCATGGACAGCTTAGTGGAACCAACTGCAGCCATTTCTTATATTGCTCTGATTCAAGGAAATCTGGAGCACGGTTAGGATTTCTTCCAGGGAGGATTAATCACACGGGAAGCAGGTCCCCTGGGATAGGTTTTAAGTATCAACAAAGATCTGCCTTCCCGTGGGTGCCCTCTATTTGGTCTTATCATATATCTGAAATAATCTGTGCCAATTAAGGCAAGGGTTCCATGTGCAGAATCAGAATGTGGGGCACGTTTTCTTAAACCCAGGTTCTAATTTCTGTTTTTACCTTTTAAAAAATGGATTCCCAAACCCTGCTCCTGAAGACTGTTAAAGAGGAGGGACAGGATCCTGTAATCCATATTTTTACCAAAAACATTTATTATTTTCATTTTTAAAGGCTTTGTAAAAGATTTATTTTACTTGAAAGGTAGAGTTAGAGAGAGGGGAGGGACTGGAGGGGGGAAGAGAGAGAGAGGGAGAGAGAGAGAGCAAGAGAGAGAGAAATATAAATTTTCTATCCACTGGTTCACTCCCCCAAATGACAGCAACAGCCAGGGCTGGGATAGGCTGAAGACAAAAACTTCATCTGGGTCTCCTACATAGGTGCAGGGTCCCAAGCACTTGGGCCATCTTCTGCTGCGCTCCCAGGCACATTAGTAGGGAGCTGGATTGGAAGTGAAGCAGATGGAACAGGAACTGGTGCCCATATGGGATGCTGGTGCCACAGGCAGTGACAACCTGCAATACCACAATGCTGACTCCTCATTTTTTAAGCTTTAACATCAGAAAGAGAAAGAGACAGACAGAGATCCTCTATCTACTGGTTTACTCCCCAAATGCCAACAAAAGCCAGGGTTAGACCAGGCCAAAGCTAGGAGCCCAGGACTCAATCCATGCCCCCCATATAGGTGGCAGGGACTGAAATATATGAGCCATTGCTGCTGCTTCCCATGATGGCATTAGCATGAAGCTGGATCAGAAGCAGAGCAGGCAGGACTTGAACCAGGCACTCCCATATGCAGGCATGCCACAGAACATATTAACAGAAACACAAAATGCTCACCCCTATTTTATAAGTTTTGTCGATAATTTTAGGCAAGTTAGTTCTGAGTCAAGACATTTATTGATTCACCTATCAATTCATTTAATTATTCATTCTTTTGTCATATACAAAAGATTGCTCATTATAATGTAGGTGCTGGATACTATGGGAGCTACTGATATTGTCTGGTGAAATTGAGGGATTGGACCCAGGAAAGACTTCACAAGAACATGTATTTTGGAAGTATCAGCTGAGAGGTGGAGGGTCCACATTTTTAAGCCAGATGGCCTAGATTCAAAGCCCAGCTCTACCACCTTCCAGCTTAGGACTGCTTTGGAGTTGCTTAACTTTTTTGTCTCTGTTTTCCCATCTGTAAAATGGGGGCAATCTTTTTTGTCTGCCTCAGAAGACTATCATGAAGATTAAATGTGCTGATGTGAGTAACGTCCTTCAGATATGGTCTCAAGCTTCAGCATGCATCAGAATCCCCTGGAAGTCTTGTTACAACATAGGCCTCTGGGTCTTGCCCCAGCTTTTGGAGTCAGAAGATCTAGAGTGAGGCTGAAATTGTGCATTTGTAACAATTTCCCAAGCAGAGGGAACTGCTAGTGTATGGCGTGGAAGACTGAAATCAGAGGGCATGCTCCAGGAACAGGAAGAAACTGCTGGTCAGACAGAATGGATTATGGCCACCAGGCTCTGAAGCTGCAATGTGGGAATTGTCAGTTAAACAAATTCATCAATTTCTTGGTTTGCCTGCAAGGGAAAAAGTAACAAAAACAAACAGATAAAAAGATGAGTGGGTTGTGTTTGTTTTTCATATTCTTTTGGTTGTCCATGGAATAGAGTACATATGTATATATGTATGTATGTGTTTGTTTGTTCGTATAAAGTATGTGTTTTTGAGGTTCATAGTATGGAAAATATTGATAGATGGATTAATACAATATTACAAGCCTTCCAATGTTGTAGTTTGAAAGCTTGCCCTGGCTGTTGCATAGAAGTTGTCTGCGAGTAACCAGAGAACCTATTATCAGCCATTAGCACCTTCAGGCTCAAATTAATTTACCAGTGTAGTGTGCCACCTTGTCAATCCGACTCATGCCTGGCAAACTTCGATGCCCCGTAGGTTGCTGTGCCTTCTTTCGAAATCAACCCATAGTAGAATCACAGCCACTTGTGGGTGCTAAGTTGTCCAGACCCCCTGTGGTGGGTTTCTGTCCATGAGAACTGTGGATCTGTGACCATACCTGGAAATCCATTGGCATCTCCACACTCACATTCCTGTTCCCAAAGTGCCTCCCCCAAATGCAATTTGCTTTTATTGGCAAGCTTTCAAAATACAACACTGGAAGGCTTGCAATATTGTATTTATCCATCTATCAATATTTTCCATACTATGAACCTCAAAAACACATACTTTATATGAACAAACAAACACATACATACATATATACATATGTACTCTATTCCATGGACAACCGAAAGAATATAAAAAACAAACACAACCCACTCATCTTTTTATCTGTTTGTTTTTGTTACTTTTTCCCTTGCAGGCAAACCAAGAAATTGATGAATTTGTTTAACTGACAATTCCCACATTGCAGCTCCTTGTGCATTCTTATTTCTGTGAAAGGAACATAGATCATCTTAGCTGCCCTGCAGCGGTTCCTGTGTGTGTCATTCTACCAAAGCATTCACTGCACAACTTTACACTCCCAAAGTAGACAACTCCAATGCCGAGTAAGATCCAGTATGGGTAACAGCAGCCTTCCTACTGGCATGGTGAATATGGGGCTACTATGAAGGCAGACCAGGCTATTTTGGGCATGGTATGCTGTAACGAATGGAAAAAAAGAAATCAGAGACCGGCAGTTTTCTTCTGTCCTCTGAACAATAATGTGGGTGTGTCACGCTAGAATAAGAGGGAGAGTGATATGGAAGGGAACTGCTCTTACTGATACCTGAAAAATGAATGAGGAGGAAGAGATGGTGGGTGCAGAAAAATCATATAATAGAAGAAAATTCTGGTAGATAAAATTTACAGACAGAAAACTCAATGGCTGCAGCTTCCTTTTCAACAATAGCTTTAGTTTTGCCTCATTTATCTTGTCTTATAGATGCAATGTGTTAACACACACAAATGAAGAATTAAATTCTAATTTCTATATCAATCTAGAGAAAAGCATCGCTTTGTTAAACTCTTCCCCAAATCACTGAAGATAAGTAATTCCTGCAAGTCCTTCCTAATAGCTTTCCCCTATGATGTGCTATCATTTCTGTGATGTGTGTTTTATCATATTGCAATGAGCAGTAAACCCAGCTCATTTAACTGTAGTGTTTGGCTGGAGGATACTGACATTAGAAATTCCTTAAGCTATTAGAAATATACCCTTTCCAAGGTCAAAGTGATGGTTTGTAGAAAACTCAAAATAATGCTCTGATGTTCTCAGTTGTTTCAAACAAGAACATTGGAACTTATTTTTCCCACATCAAATTGATATATATGATGTCCCATTTACTACTACAAAAGTACCTTGTAGCCTATCTAAATTTCAGGATATGTCTTACAAATACAGATTACTTGTTATAGTCCTTATAGATCCAGCTAATGTAATCTCCTCTGTACCTAAATTCTCTATAAACAATTAAACGTTTATGGAAAACTTCCAAGCCAAATAGTAGGATAAGTCGCTAACTCTGTCCCTTAAGTAGTTTGCAAATAATAAAATGTGGCAAGTATTTCACAGGGGCAGGTAAAAACAGTGCTACATGGGGCAGGTAATGTGGTTCAGATCCAGCTTCTTTGTGTTTCTGATCCAACTTTGTGCTAATGCACCTGGGAAGACAGCAGATGATGGCCCAGGCATTTGGGTCCCTGACACTTATACACAAGACTCAAATGGAGTTCTAGGCTCCTGGATTTGACCTGTCCCAGTCCCAGCTGTTATAAGTATTTGATGGAAGATCCCTCCCCACCCCCATGGCCTATTTCCTATTTCTCTCCCTATGTCTCTTCACTCTGCCTTTTAAATAAATAAATTGCAAAAAAAAAAAAAAAAGTGCTACAAGAGCATTGAGGAGGAATGTACAGTCTAACTCACCATGCAAGGTCACTGAAGATGACTTATTTTCTTATATTCAACAGACATCAAGGGCTAAAACCAGCCTCCTTAGGTTGTACCTTGGCTCAACATCTCATGGCTGAGCAATCTACTGATGATTTGGTTTTCTCATCTGTAAAATGAAAAACAATCATTCAATTGTTATGAAGATTATGTTCATTTTATACAAAAGACAGATGCTGTTTCTAGTACTAGGGATAGATAACCAGGAATTTCTTCTCAAATCCAAATTCCTTATCATTTCTCCTAGCAAGGAAGCAAATAGTCCAAAATCTCCTCTTGGAAAATCTGACCATGTATTTTGTAATCGGACTATGTATTTTGTAATTGGACTATGTATGTATTTACCTGAAAAGCAGTCATATATAGAGAGGGAGATAACAACACACATACACATACACAATGACAGAAGAGAGAGAGAGAGAGGGCTGGGCCTGGTTGAAGCCAGGAGCCAGGAACTTTGTCCAGGTCTCCCACCTGGGTGGCAGGGGCCCAAGCATTTGGGCCATCTTCCACTGTAGTCCCAGCTGGATTGGAAGTGGAGCAACTGGGACTCAAACCAGTGCCCATATGGGATGCTACCACTGTACATAGTGGCTTAACCTACTTGCCACAGTGCCAGCCTCTGATAATTTATCTTAGGAAAGCAAATCCTTTGAACAAGTTACTGTTAATAAAACTTGTACTTTATCACTTAAAGTTTTGTCTAAGTCAAGAATAATGTCATAGGTAAACATCTGAGGAAAAAAATTCACTCAAAATTATAAGCTCCATAAAAGCAAGGACTTTGTCTTGTTCATTGCTCTTTCCCTAGCCTCTACCACAGTATATAGCATGCAGTCGACACTCAACAAATATTTGTTGAATGAATAAATAAATTTTTGACATTGAAGATAAATATGTATTTTAATTTACTTCTATTACTTTGGATTCTCCATAAATAGAGAGTTCTAATTTCATAGAGGGTGCTAATTCTCAATCTATTTTCTCCCATAAGCCAAACAGACATTATGTACTTATATTAATAATGTAGATTACAGGAGTTCTGAGAGTCAACACAGAGTAACAGGGCAAAGGAGAAGCACAGCTACCCCGGGAGCTTAGTGAGATCACAGGAAGGCATGTGTGTTGTGGGCGAGCTGTCAGAGATTCCGACATACCCATTGTGAACACAACCTCCATCAGCCCAGACTCTTATCTAATTCCATTTTCTAAAAAGATTTATTTATTTTATTTGAAAGGCAGAGAAAGGGAGAGAGGTAGAGACAGAGACAGAGATCTTCCAGCTGCAATAGCCAGGAATGGGACTGGCTGAAACCAGGTACCAGGAACTCCATCCTGGTCTCCCACAGGAATAGCAGGGGTTCAAGTACTTGGGCCATCTTCCACTGCTTTCCCAGACACATTAGCAGGGAACTGGATTAGAAATGGAACAGCTGGGACTCAAACAGGATACTAGCATCTCAGGTGGGGGCTTAACTCATCATGCCACAACAGTGGCCCTCTAATTCAATGTTGTCAATGATTTGGATACAGGTGTATATATCATACTTGGAAAATGTATGAAGACACAAATTTAATATGATAAGAGATATCAATGACACTAAAGTCGTTGGCAGGTATGTGGCAGAATGATTAAGCTGCCACTTAGGACATCTACATCCTATATCAGAATGCCTCGTTCAAGTCCTGGCTCTTCCACTTCTGATATAACTTCCTGTTAATGCACCCTGGGAGGTAGCAGGCAATGGTTCAAATATGTGGTTCTCTGCCACTAATATGAGAAACACAGATGGCATTCTAGGCTCCTTGCTTTGGGCTGACCCAGCCATGGTTGTTGCTGACATTTGAGGAGTGAATTAGCAGATGGAAGAACTCTCTTTATCTCTCTCTCTCTCTCTCTCTGCCTTTCAAACAAAATGAAAATGAATAAAAAATAAATACACTGAATGCAAATGTTAAGAACTGAATTATCTCAGCTTGTGGAATAATTCTAACAGAATTTTTCTGTGTAAAAATTCTACTGTAGAGATGGGCACTGACAAGTGTTTAAGATGCCAGTTGGGTTACTTAGGACTTCCACAAGGGAGTTCCTGTGTTCAAGTTCCAGTTCCATTTCTGATTCCTGGCATATGCTAATGCACTCCTGGGAGGCAATGGTGATGGCTCAAGAAGTTCCCTGCCTGCCACTGACGTGGGAGACCTGGATTGAGTTCTAGGCTCTTAGCTTCAGTGTGGCCTAGTCCTGGCTATTGTGAGCATTTGGGGAGTGAACAAGCAAGTGGAAGATAACTTATCTATCTGTCCCTATGTTTCTGTGCCTTTCAAATAAACAAAAATAAGTTTTTAAATTAAAAAAATACAAGGTCAAAATATTTGCTTTATATAAACATATTTTATGAAGAAAATGTTTTGGAAATAACATTGTTAAGAAATGTGAAACTCAATAAACATTATTATGCAAAAATAATAAAGCTCTTTAAATAAAAGAAAATATTACTCTTATGATGCTAAAACTTTTCATGCAAAATTTCTCAATCAAAAATAAACATATATTCTGTTTTATGTATACTTTAGCCCAATAACTATAAGGCTGTATTAGAAAGAGCAACTAGTTCAGATCATCCCAGTACGTATGTATGTTCCATTCAGTAATCATATTTTAGATGTGAATCATCTAAACCTGTAGGTGTTAGTCCTGGCCATAAACTATGTTAGTTGTTCTTTTTTTTTTAAGCCATTTAGTATTATTATTTAGTATTATGTACACATATATATGTACATATTATTTAGTTAGTTGTTCTTTTGACCCATTCATCAGCATCCCCACTGGAGTTTGCTCACATGCATACACTGGCTGTGGTCATCCCTGATGTGGTTTTCTTCATCATCAACTCAAGATGAAATTTTTATGCCACAGTTGATTCTTCCCTCTCTCGCGACCCAATTTTGTGCCACATTTTATTAATATTCTGAGTCCAGTGCTGAAATATCTTTTTTTTAAACAAGCAGAGTTAGACTGTGTGAGAGAGAGAGAGACAGAGAGAAAGGTCTTCCTTCCATTGGTTCACCCCCCAAATGGCCACTATGGCCGGCGTGCTACACCCATCAGAAGCCAGGAGCCAGGTGCTTCCTCCTGGTCTCCCATGCGGGTGCAGGGCCCAAGCACTTGGGCCATCCTCCACTGCACTCCCAGGCCACAGCAGAGAGCTGGCCCGGAAGAGGAGCAACCGGGACAGAATCCGGCGTCCCGACCGGGACTAGAACCCGGGGTGCTGGCGCCACAGGCAGAGGATTAGCCAAGTGAGCCGTGGCACCGGCTGGCTGAAATATCTTACAAAATGGTATAGTCACCTAAATGATATGATAGAAAAATAGCCTTATCTGCACTTACAAGGAACTAATAGAAATAGCATTCAGGACAATGGATGTGTTTGGTACATTTTACTCTGATTGCTCAGATGACACATGGATTATTTGCAGTCACTTCTTAAAATCTCTGTCTCCCTCCCTCTCTCCTTTCCCCACCTCCTCCCCCATCCTTTCTTACAGGAAGGTAGCCTTACAGGATTTGGGCCCATGGGGTTGGGGGTAGCCCAGGAGGAGCTGAGGCCCGAGTCGGGTTCTGAGTCACAAGAATAGTAAACAAGTAAGCAGGTATCTTAAAGATGATGAGAGCTGTGTTTGTACCTTGTTAGAGAGGGAGGTATACATTTGAAGAGGGGCAAAGCTAGAGTAAACCCTATGGTGTTGTATTGGAGTTGTAGGATTTTTGCAAACTCATGAGTTTCAATTGACAGTTGCTTTAATGATGGGGAATTAGTATGAGGAATGCATTAGCTGACTTCCCACACCTATCTAGGGCACTTCCCATGCATGCAGCTTGTAGGACTAGAAGTTGCTCTGGGTGAGTCAGTGAGCGAGTGTTGAGTAAAGGCCTGGACATTACTGCACATCACTGTAGACTTTATATGAACACTAAATTTATAAAAGTATTTTTCTTCAATAATAGACTTTAGTTTATGATAACATTTTATACTGATAATTTTAACATTTTAAAGCTTGTTGACTCTTTTTTTTTAAAATGACTTATTTATTTGAAAGGCAGAGTTACAGAGAAGCAGAGGCAGAGAGAGAGGTCTTCCATCTGCTGGTTCACTCTCCAAATGGCCACAATGGCCAGAGCTGTGCCAATCAGGAACCAGGAGCCAGGAGCTTCTTCCAGGTCTCCCATGTGGGTACAGGAGCCCAAGGACTTGGGCCAACTTCTACTGCTTTCCCAGGCCATAGCAGAGAGCTGGATCAGAAGTGGAGCAGGCGGGACTCAAACTGGCGCTCACTTAGGATGCCAGCACTGCAGGTGGCAGCTTTACCTGCTACATCACAGTGCCAGGCCCCATATTGACTCTTTTATAATAACAAGCATACTGTACAACTATACAACTATAAAAATATTTTCTCTTTATGTCCTTACTGTATAAGCTTTCTTGTATTTTTAATTTTTTTTTTGCTTTTTGCTTTTTGAACATTTTAATTAAAAAATAAGATATGAACACACAGTTACTATGGGCCTATGCAGGGTCAGGGTGTCAATGTCACTGTCTTCCCCTCCACATTTTGTCCCACTGGAAGGTTTTCCAGGGCAATAGCATGCATGTGGCTGTCATCTTCTATGATAACAATGCCTTCTTCTGGATACTTCCTGAAGGGCCTGCCTGAGGCTGTTTTATAGTTAACTTTAAATATACATACATAATATATCTATGTAGGATACTAAAATAATGACAGAAACACAGGATAGTATCAATATCAAGCATCAAGTACTGAATGTAATTGTAGGTGCTGTACTTTTCTATGACTAACAGTGCAGTAGGTTTGTCCATACTAGCATCACCTTAAATACTTGAGTAATGGATAGCACTACAACATTACAACAGCTACAGTATCAGTAGATGATGGGAGTTTCTCAGCTCCACTCTAATCATAGGGGACCACCATCATATGCAGTCCACTGCTTGACCAAGTCATTGTACATGACTGTTTAGAGATGTGTGTAGAAATAAGGATGTAAATTTGCATAAATACATATATAATTATATATGTATATAT